AGAGATCAACAGGATCCTAAACTAACTCCAAAAATCCTATTTAACTTCAAATGCTATTAGACACATTAAAAGAAAAATCTTTCAAGAAGGAATAAAAAAAAAATGGAATCACACAAAGGCAATATGCAGCTGGAAATTCCCATCTACCTTGCTTCACACTGACCTCCTGTGTAGACAAACAATCGATAAATAATAGTAGTGCTGAAGAGTCTTCGGTTTGGATACTGTTGTGACCATTCCAGGAAACATTCTTACTGCTACTGTTTCAATCTTCTTGCAAAAAATGCAAAATGTATTCTTCTCCTCTTTCTATCTTGAGTTAAAACATAATAGCAGATTCTAGGCTAATGTAAGTATATGCATCATCGTACAAAATTTAGAAATAACAATGTTAAATGGCACAAGGCGGGAATCTGGAAGATTCCATACTTTCAAGGGAATTTTGTGAAAATCTAGGGCAGAACGGTGAAATCCTCAAAATATCTGGACCTAGGCCCAGTGTTGAGCCTGTTTTATTTTAATAAAAATGAACATCTAGCAGATTAAAGCCATGAAGAATAACATGATTAAGGTAGTATTTAGAAGAACCGGAAAAAGCCAGATTTCATTAAGCCACAAAACACTCAAATCATCATTCTGAAACATGCCTCATAATCACATAATAATAATATTATTCATTTGCCAGTAAGAGACTGGTATACCGTAAAAATGCAGAACTGCTGTTGAAGCACTATTTCCCCGCCTCTCAGCAGATATTTACAATTGCAACTAATTTGTCATTCCACATTCACCTGGCCCTGTTCTTCTGTGCCTGAATGATTACTCCAGGTTAGAGGAAAGGAATGGCCAATTGTCACATGAAAATAAAATACCCAGAACTGGTCAGAATTCACAGAAATGCAAAACAAAATGGAACTTCCTAACATCTTCCTTAGCCAAGAGAGAAACTGAGAAGGTCCTTTGAAACAGTTAAAAGGGGAAGCTGAGAACTGGCTTTTACCAAACCTACACTCTTGTTATGTTAGGCCATTAGCTTGAAACATCTTCACCAGACTGCTCTCATTTCGCTTCTCCTCGGATGCCTACAGGAGTGACTTTTATATGAACTGTCACCAAAGTCAGGCTAAAATATTCTAGGCTAAAAGCTGTTGAGGAAAATCTGGGCCTTTAGAAATTACTTTCTATTAAGAACTGACTTTATTTCTATAACTCTTTCCCTGTTACTTACCATTCTATTAGGTTTTTTATACTTCTATGGGCAGAAAATTAATTCCTCCATGCTTGCTATGAAATTTTGACTATATCTTCAATTACTGAAGTGAAATGGAACAAATAGAATAAACTACACATATGTGTACACACATGTATATTATACACGTATAATGTATAGAATTTCTTACAACATGGTGATCCAACAAGGACAGACAGAACATAAAACATGAAATGCAACTGAAATATATCAAATGCGATGCCTCGTGGTGGGAAAACACTAATAAAAGATTGCTCTTCCTTATTCAACTGTGAGACTGCAGGAACAAAAATGGTATTTCTGGAAAAAATACACATAAAAATTTGGGGAAAGAGGGGGAGAAGGAAAAACAGAGCTTCAGAGCAAGTATCCCCCCCTTTTTTTTTTCTAGTGACTGTAAAGATGCCATTTTTGTTAACCTCAAAATGGAAACAGTTCTGTAATAGCCATACCACAAATACCGTTGTTGCCCCCTGCCTTCTCAGACCTCACCTCTGTCAGAGGCAAAAGGACCAAGTGCCTGTGCTGTCCAAAGGGTCCTTCTCCTCCTGCCAGGGACTGCAGTAGTGGAGGTACTTTTGCAATGCTGACACTTATTCCCTTACACTGGAGCTCAGCACTGACATCACCAACTAATTTCACAGAGTCTCCTCAGTGTGTGATCCAAGGGCACCAGCTCCTTCCTTGAAAGCATTGCAACAGTTAGATTTTTCAGTGACTTTCATAACCTCCTAGCAATTCTGTCACTAGGAACATAAATATTTTCATCTGAGCTGGAGACCTGCGAGCTCACACGGGACTCTGGCTGAACGGTGCTGAATATGAAATGGCCCTTCAAAACAATGAAAGACCTCTTGCACTAACAGGAATGGTGACTGAGAATAGTGAAATCTGAGAACATACATAGACACATGGAGCATATTGGCTTGCCTATGCATGTACAATTGATTGATAACATAAATACTGAAACAAATAAGTCTGGAGGGCGTCTGGCTGTCTGTATCATAACTAAACGAAAGAAATCTCACCAGAAGAGTGACATGTAGTAGAAAGAGTATTTTACAATAAAGTTTTCATTTCACATGCCACCACTATTACATGCATAAATACCCGCATCAAGACCTCCTCTGTTAAGAGGAAAAGAAGGTTAGTTGTAATAGGAGACTCCTTTCCAAGGGGAACAGAGGGCCTGCTACACAGGCTGGACCCAACTCACCAGGAAGTCTGCTGTCTTCCAGGGGCCCGAATAAAGGACATCACTGGAAAACTCTCCAGTCTAATAAGGCCCCCTGATTACCATCCACTACTGGTTTTTCAAAGTGGCAGTGACAAAATAACAAAGACAATGCCAAGGGCAGTCAGAAGAGACTTCAGGGCGCTGGGATGATTGGCAGGGGGATCAGGAGCATAGGTAGTGATTTCCTTGATTCTTCTGGTAATGAGGAATAGTACTGATAGGAATAGGCAGATCTATCAGGTCAATGCATGGCTCTGAGGCTGGTGTACTGGGAAAAATTCTGGATTTTTTGACCATGGGGTGATCTATTCAACACCTGGCCTACTGACACCTGATGGGATGCACCTATCTCAGAGGGGAAAAAGAGTTCTAGCACAGGAGCTAGTGGGTCTCATTGATAGAGCTTTAAACTAGCTGGGAAGGGGGAAATACCAGACTTGCCAGTGACGAGCAATGGTGTGCCAAACTTCAGGAAATGAGCATTAATGGGATCTGTCAATCTGCTTCATGAGCTGTTGGCTACAATGTCCCACACCTAAAATGTTTCTACACCAATGCACACAGCATGAGGAACGAACCAGAGGAGCTCAAAGCTTTGGCCCAGTCCCAGAGATTTGACATCACTGACATAAGGGAAACCTGGTGGTACGAGACCTGTAACTGGAATGCTCTGTTGAACGTTTACAGGCAAGTTGAATATGAGTCATCAGTGCTCTGGCAGCCAGGGAGGCCAACCATGTCCTGGGGGCATCAGGCAAAGCATCACCAGCCGGTTGAGGGAGGGGATTGTCCTGCTCTGCTCTGCACTGGGGCGGCCTCCCCTTGAATACTGTGTGCAGTTTTGGGTGTCACAATATAAGAAAGATATTAAACTACTGGAGAGTGTCCAAAGGAGGGCAATGAAGATGGTGAAGGGCCTTGAGGGGAAGCCATATGAGAAGTGGCTGAGGGCACGTGGTCCGTTCAACCTGGAGGAGACTGAGGGGAGACCTCATTGCAGTCTAAAACTTCCTCATGAGGGGAAGAGAAGCGGCAGGCAGTGATCTCTTCTCTGTAGCGACCAGTGACAGGACCCAAGGGATGGCCTGAAGTTGTGTCAGGGGAGGTTTAGGTTGGAGATTAGAAAGAGGTTCTTCCCCCAGAGGGTGGTTGGGCACTGGAACAGGCTCCCCATGGAAGTGGACACAGCACCAAGACTGACAGAGTTCAAGGAGCATTTGGACAATAATCACAGGCACATGGTATGACTCTTGGGGATGGTCCTGTGCATGGCTAAGAGTTGGACTCAATGATTCTTGTGGGTGCCTTCCAACTCAGGATATTCTGTGATTCTGTGAAAATAGGCTCACAGCCAGAGGTAAGTCTGCCAAGAGGGATAGAGGAGGCAGAGAGAATGAGGGAAACTTGCAAGGCTGTAGCTGTTATGGAGAACTTAAGACAGCAGAGAATCCTACCTTGTATCTTCTCCCTTACCAGATAATTTCTGAGCTACACTGTGTGATGTCCAAATGAGTCATTAAATACATTGTCTAAGTCCCAGCAGAAGTATAGATGATTCTGTATACATAAGAAAAAACCCTGCTCTGAAAACTTTACATTATGAAAAAACAAGGTAGGTAAAGAAGAGGCACACAGAAAACAAATTACTTGTTGAAAGTTACAGGAAGACCTCCAATTTTCCCACTATACCCACTGACAAGATGCATATTCCTGATTCTGCTTAACATACTGGCACATTGCGGATCTTAGTAAAGTGTAAAAGAAGTTTGGGGTTTTTTTCACAGAGGATGGAACATCTGTATCTTCAAATAATTTCCTGCCTCTCTGGCTCTCCTTTATACAGGAATACCTGCTCATGAACCCTCTCACAGGACCAGAGCTGCAGGAGATTGAATTACAATGAAGTCATGCAGTTTGTACTGCTATACCAAACCTTGCAATCTATTCAACTGAGAAAGGAAATTGGATGTGGAATTTGTGAGAATGAATTCCACAGGAAAAACTGAAAAATTAAGACATGGTTGTCCACTATGAACAGTTAAATTGTCCTTTCTCAATTAGCAACAGAAAATGCCATCAACTCTTAATCCCTAATCCAAATAAAGGTGTTCTTACTCAGGTACTAACTAACTTGAAGGGTAGATTTAGTAAGCAGTGGAAATACTGGATAACAGAAATGTGCCCAGATCTGAAAAAAGCACTCTCAGTTAGATGCTGCAATTGAAAACTCTCTTTGACTATAATTCGTCTCTGCTACTAAGTACGGAATCTGCTGTTACACTTTCAATACCAAAAAATTGATTACAAAGCCTAGAGAGACACAACATCTAAAATTATAAAACCAGTAGGAATCTGAAGAACTTACAATTCCAAAAATGGGTAGCATATATTTGAAGTGGTAAAACACAAAACATAACTTGAAAAACCCACAAAACAGAGTAAAAAGCAAAACTCTTGCTTCTTTATTTTATCAGTTAACAGAATTATTTTGCTAAAATATATCAAAACGACCTCTGAACAGGAGTACAAGTAATCAGTCACTTGATTCTTTCTTATAGGAGAAAAAAATATATCAACTGGGAGTATGACATAGGAAATTGGTTAATTGTACTTTATTGATTCTAACCAGATCTTACACACCAGCCCACTAACCAGACAAAAATTTAATGGCTTTACTCAGCAGTAATTATAGAACAGAGATTAACAAACTGCACTTAACACAGGTAGGTCCTTCCTTTAATTAGGCTAGTCAGCTTTTTGTCAAACTGCAGTTTTATAGATTGGTATATTATTTGCAATTATTGCTAATTGCTATGAGCAATGATTGCAATATATCTGAAACACCTCTGTTGCTGATACTACTTAAATGTGACAATTTCATGGCTAGCAAGCGTACGTTACTGATGTACCATTACTCCTAAGTGATTGATAAAAGTGTTCTACCCTTATACTTGGAAATACAACAGGTACTTTATCTCATATAAAGGTAGATCTCTATTTTCTCTCATAATGGGTTAGTTTATGTGTCCAAAGGTATCTAAGTAACAGTTAATCCTCAGACAGTCTCAACTGAATCAGGGGATTATTCATGTAATCGAGTACAATACAAGCACTCATTATCAGGCGCTCATGCAGCTGGAATAGCTGAAAGCCTGTGACCAACACACAGAATGCATGATAATGTCTCAGACACAAATCTGTTTGTGAGGGAAGGTTCTCCTTTACACATCACACCATCTGGAATAAGGGAAGACAACAAACATCTCACTTGCCATGACAGACACATTTCAACTGCTATAGTACATATGTGACATGCAGATATGTCCATACTTGACAGACGCTGGCAGTGATAAGAGTACATTTTCTCTATGCTGACTTCAGGGGATAACTCATCAGAGAAGAGAGACATTTTCAGTCTCCAGGAATGATGATGTAATCCTTGCTTGTGCCACATCTATTGTAGCAGATAAATGTACAGCCTCGCAGGCTACAGCAGCAGGTGGGGGATGCGCTGTGCTGTGGAGATAAGAGCTGGAGAAAGAGAAAAAATTCCAGTTAGAAAAAATACTCACAAATCATTCAACACACAAGCATGGACCTGACAAAGAACTTGTATCTCTCATACTGATGGGATACATGACAACGTTTCTAAAGTTTTTTGAGGACTCATGGTGCTATAGATATAAATTATGAACATTACAGCCAGTGTGAGATGGGTCGGAAGCATTCCCATAGGTTACCTGATGATAACCTGACCAAGGTTAACCTTGCCATCAACAGCACTCATGCCCAGTGCAGATCTGCAGAAATCTGAAGTTCTGGCACTGTCCTTATGCATATGAATGGGTATCACATATAAAAGAAAGCAAAGAACTGAGAGGAGTGGAGCAAGTTGTGTGAGTAACTAGCCATTTTAATAACAATAACTATAGACTAACATATTTTTAAAATTACAAAAATAAACATCTACAGACATCAGAGTCAGACTTCACTGTGTGAACCCAGTCTCAGACTTTTACTCACTGAGGAACAGTTGAAATTGCTGTCAGCAGCCACACTGGTGGGAATTCACAATCTAACCCACTGCAGTAACATAATCCCTGAGGCTGCAGACATGTGGCAAGCTGGTGAGCACTTGAATATAGTGGCTCTTTGTGACAGAAGCTTACAGGGACCTCAAGAAATAATCTGAGACCATTCACCTGACACCATGGCAGGATCAGCTGTAGCTGTGTCATTACTGACAAGTTTGTTCAACCTGCCTTTGCAGACCACCCAGAAGCTGCATTCAAATCAATCTGTTCCCATGCCTCCCTCTCCTACAGTTCAGAAGCACATGGGTACACTGTCCATGGATGGTACACATACCACTGGCACTACGAACAGCAGGAAGCTGGCCTTTATATAATGGCATTTTGTGTATTTGTGTATCATGCTTCTTGGCAGCATCTCCTCTGCCAGGCTAAGCATCCTGCCATTTGATTGCCCTGCTTGAAGTTGGATCAGATAGACCTCAGGTCTCTCCTGTCAAATTCCTCTTTCTCTTTCTCCTACTAGGCCACATCTATCTTGGAGTACAGTGCATAAAACAGGACCATGATTCTGCAACTGAACAGAGCAGAAGGCTGACTTCACATGCTTTTTTTTTCCCAAGTCATATTCCTGCTCAGAAATGCATTAAACTGATGTCTAATTACAACTAAAAGAGTATTTGTTACTTATAAATATTACAGATACTTCTTGTGAGCACTCTGAAGGGTCTTATCACAACTGCCATCTGGGTTTTCCCTTTTCTGCCTCCCACTGAGATGGGGGAGTTTTAATTTCTGCCAAGGACTCTGCATGATGTTCCCTACAACAGGAGAATGGATTCAAGAATTTCTCTGTACATGGGATCAAGGACCTAAAAGATACTTGTTCAATTATTAAATCCTCTCCTGCAAAAATACACCATGCTACAGCCTGACCCCTGACAAATGTACTCAATGTACCCAGCTCCCTAAGGATTTCATTTGCTCTCACTCCTTTTAAAAGGAGACCGAAATGTGTCTGTCTTCTTTACACTCATTCACAAGTGGTCCACACTCATCCATGATTTTTCCCATGCTGTCTGTGTTCTTAAATTGCTATCCTATCACTATGATCCTAATTGATATGACATAATTTTTAAAGGTACTAATATCCCCCTGTCATGTTTTCACCAGAGAAACTGAAACAACTGAGAAGCCTTTCACATCGTGACAGGCTACGGGAGCCCTTCCTCCTGCAATAAGCCCCCTGCTAGGAAGAGTAATTTAGAAACCAAGACAGTTATAGCCCCTTCTTCCTCAAATATCAAACCTGACTCCGGCATTGTTTTCAAAACCCCAAAAAAATCAAGACTGCAAGCTCAAGTTTACCACTGCATGCTACTTCCAAGGGAAGTACTTAAAGAAAAAAAAGGACACCAGAGAACATTTAATTTGGAACTCTGATTGCAAGAACTGATTTGAAATTTAGACAACCACAAACAATCAGAATAATCCTACTTTCTCTAGCCCTGTATAAGACTAACTTCTTCTGTTTCCAAATGCAAAATAAGCAGCTTAACCAATCAATGCTGTACTTCACAGCCCCCAAGCTGGAGGCTCCTGACCTTTCAAGGGACGTAAGTAAGAAGACTATTCTTGGAGAAAAGCATATTAAAACGACAACAAAGACGTATTTTTTAGTTAAGATATTTTATATGTACACAGACATCCACAATCACATAACTCGCATATTTGTTTTACCTATGAAAGAAAGACCACTATAATGTTACCAACCCTGCTTAAAGAATCATGAAACATAAATAAATTTCTTAAAAATTTCTAACATGTTTTTATTGTGGCCTTTAGCTAAAGGTCAATCACTACTGAAAAACAATCCTTTTAGGCCTTTTGAATAAAGCTGGGAGGACTAAAAATTGGTTTTGTACATAAGCAAAGTACATCAACATTTCAACAGCCTATAAACATCATTTATTTAGTTCCTATTAAATCAAAACACTTTTGAACTACAGTCCTGGTGCTACTCACTGTCTTGAATTTTTCCTTTAATAAGACAAGCCCCATGATTTTCAGATGTTTTGCCAGTGATCGCAAAGATACAGACGACATCAGTTCAAGCAATGGAATAAATTATTGGCCACGAAAACTACTCTTGATAATAGTTTCTAAGAACCCAAGATGCCTAAACCAAGTAGGCTGGCAAGAAAAGCCATCCGAAAAGAAAAACACGTAAGCCTTGCAGAGGAGGGTCATAGAACTGGAGTTAGTAACAACACGTACCGTGCCACTGAGAATGACAGGAACAGTATAAGGCAGACGGCAGCCACTGACCCCAATCCAACAGCGATCATGTACTGCGGAGGGGGTGACAAACCTGAAAGAAAATACCAAACCATTCAAACAAACAAACTAAATACCAAAAATTGACCTCTAGCGGATTTCAAACTCTTCTGAGGCAAACTGATTAATTGGAAACATTTTATAATTAAAAAGTAAATCACAATAAAACCATGCTAAGAAATTTACTTTTTGGGGTTTTTTTAAGTTATGCCACTATATATCTAAGAAACTGCCCTTACAAGTACAAAAATTAGCCATATTTTTCATTTTTGCATGGAATCTTTTATTTTTTTAAGATGATAAAAAGACTTAATTCTCCGAGGACCACCTGAACATTATAAAATAAATAAAGTGGCCTCCAAAAGCTAGAATGTTGTGGGGTTTTTGGCTGGTTGGTTAGTTGGTTTTGCTTTGGTTTTTTTTTATTGTTGTTGCTCGGTTTTCAGGATTTTTTGGTGGGTTTGTTTTTGTGTGTGTGCGGTTTTGCTGTTGTTGTTGTTTGGTTTGAGTTTTTTTTTTTTTTACTCTTTAAGCCAATATAGAGCTATCTTAAAATAGAGTTCTAAAATTCGCATTTTCTCTGCTTCAAATCCTTTGTGCACAAAAATTGCTGTAAAGATTTGGATGTGATGTACAGAAATAGCAACATCGAAAACCATGGACAAATAAGAGAATCCATTTTAGAATGGATTGCTGAATCCATTAGAAGAGAATATTGAAGAGAAAGGCAAATTTTCTGTCTCTAACCTTTTCAATCCTCAAAATCAACAGATCATTAATAGCAAATGAAGAAACAGTCACAACAATTATTAGTTTATGCCGCCAAGCAAAGCTATGACAAATTAAGGAAAAATTGACTTACTTTTAATTTGCGCCCAAACAGCACAGGACTGTGTTCTTACCTGAAAGTGAAAACATAAAAATCACTGTTTCTCATGAGAGAGATTTATTATTACTAACACCCTCTGAAAGATCAGCCATTCACAACATACTGTATTTTACTACTATTGGGAATAGAGTTTGTTATTCCCCTAACAGCAACCTCTAGCTTGTTTTAAAAGATTATAAAAAGATTAGAGATAGAGTTTTGATGAAAGGCTCACTGTTGTCTTTCAGCTCGTTACTCTTCCTTTCTTTCTACAACCTAGGCATGTTAGTAACATGGAAGGATCTTTGAAGTTTCTTCGATAGGGATTCAGAATTCATGAAATGCAAAGATAAGGTTGAATACGCTGTATTAACTCTATCCTCATGCAGAACATATATATTAAAATATAGTACCTAATGATGTGCTTTATAGATACTGGATCTAGCATTTTCTTCAGTTAAGACAACTTGTTTGGTAATTTCTAACAATTTGTATAGAATACTTATAATAGTTCATGTTCACACCAGTTGAATAAATGTAACCAGGGGTCTGCTTTTGCAGACTTGTTAAACAATTTTGGTTTCTTTACAGTAAGCTTTGGTCCATTTAAAGCTTTTCCCCCCAGCACTTCACAGTCATAAATACAAAAGAAGTTCTGTTCTAAGTTCTTGTCTATTGTGTAACTACTGTGAAGTCCATTTTTGTAGTGCTTCTACATACACACTTTCCTGCTAAATTACTTTCACAGACTTTCCCATAATGCATACACAATTCATGTATCTTTCATGTAGCAATATGTGTATTTAGGTACAGAATAACAGTACATTTCTATGAAATAGAAGGCTACATTTTTAAGTATTTGCATAAAGGGATGAAGACACTTTTGTATGTTTAATCTTGTGTATTTGCATTCTTTATTTCATGTGTCTGCATGCTGAACTGTGGAATCTCAGTGATTCTTCAACCCATTTTTTATAAGGAGTTTTCTGGTCAATTAAAAAGACAAAAGACTGACAAAGAAAATCCTCTTAGAAGAGGAAGGATAAAGAACAAGGGGTGGGTTTAAAAGCTCACCCAAATGCCAGATTTTGGAGGCACTGGCATGAGTGCCATCATTTTGAAATAGCTACATTCATGACACACTCTAGTGTGCAGAAAATTAGCCACCTCCTGCCCATCAGGAAAGTTACAGAGGTCCCATGATTCTCAGCAGAAAAGCTCACATTTCTGCACTTTATACTAAATCAAACTATAAATCCCTTTGTCTGATACAATTAGCACCTTTCCAGAAAGGTGAAATTACTCCTCTAAATACTTGAATATCCATCGATCTCAAAGTCCATATTACAACTTGGATGAACACAGGTAGCTAAACTGCAGACAGAAACCACTTCCACAGCTGCAGACTTGAAAGAGTTCTGGAGGAAAAACATTCTGTCATGCATATAGACTTTCCTCAGATAATTCATATTAAGCTAATTTTAACAGATTTTTCTCACAGTAGGGATTGTTTTGATTCCAATTAAAAAAAACCAAAACAAACACAAACCCACAGCTTTATTCTTGAAAAGACTATGTCACCTTCACCTTTCACAGTCCTGCTCTTACTTCTGTTGGATGCACAAACTGTTTGATTCAAAAAAAGCTGATGCTGACACTGAACAAAAGCTATGCTAAAGACATTAATCTCAAATCAGTTTAAATTCTAAACACTTTTTTTTAGTTCTTGCCCTTCACTGTGAGCCTTGGCTTTCTGCACAGCATGGAATTCATAAAGTAATCACAGGGGATTAAAATAGGTACCAGGTGCATTTGAGCTATTTAATTAGGATCATCCCTCGTGGAGATGGACCTTTCTAACGGTGGACAATTTGTTCCACGTAAGCAAGTTTAACTTCCTAACTGCTTTCCATGTGTATCCCCAATGATCTCCTTGGATCATTTGACCAGCCTTTTAACACATCTGGATATCCTGCATGAAATGTATAAATGAAATATGCATTTTAAATAGTCCACCTTGAAAAATAAATGGAAAGTAAAAACCTCACAGCAGACACCCTTCTCAAGACCTCCAAATCTGAACAATGGATAAATGAACATGATAATATGTCAGGTATATTAGGAATAATGAAAATAAAGTTTACAATCAAGTCATGATTGTGCAGCATGATGACACAAATTGTACCATTCTCAGTATGAGGGGGTCTGGAGACAGAGGGGACCCTGAAGCATGCCAGAATATAAAAGTCAATAATGAGAACATTAGTTAGAAGTCTATGGCATCTATTTCTAGTTTGTCTGTATTCAAATGGAAATGTGTTAACAAATTAAAGACACTATAGAAATGCTGATTTCACAGGTACTAATAAATGAGGTGCCAAGCAAATGAAAAAAAAAAACAACCAAGCAACTTTTAAATATTAACTCTTGAATACAAATTCAGTTAGTTAAGTAATCAGATTTTCAGAAATTCTCAAAACTGAATAAGCCTCAATTAATAATTTTGATTTTTTTTTTTAACCTTTTAATACCAATAATTGCACAGAATACGCGGGCATGAGAACTGAAGACAAGCCAGTACTTTTGAAACATTGGTCTAAGTCCTATTTCAAAGAAGCAGAGCTGAGAACCAAAGCTGTTTAGTATTTGTGATCCTAAAAATGATTCATAAGTATTGTATGTAACTTCATGTACTTCATCAACTAACAAAAGCCATACTGTATACTAAATGTATACTAAGGAGCTGGTGCATTCTAAATGGCAGGAAGCAAGAGCGACTTTGACAAATGAAAGCAATAATAATCCATTAAATCAGCACCCTAGAAAATATGTCTGCAAATGTTAGCAATGAAAGATCAGGAAATAATCTATAAGAAAGATAAAGAATAATGTAACTTAGAAGCCACTTAATAAACAAGCTGGCAGAGATGTATAAGGAATCGGCTCTGTTCTGTGCAAGAAAGGCCTCCAGACAAGTAACAAAAGGAAAAATATCCCACTATCAGAAAATACTGAAGGGAAAGAGCTAGGGAAACCAAAGCATAAAACCCAAGGATAAATAAACTAAGTCCAAGGATGTATTTAGCAGTGCTTATAGAGGCCAAACTTTTATACATTTGACTGATAAACAATCCTGCTCCACAGAGTAAATTTCTCTAAAAAATACAGTTTATTGTCCAAATTGAAGGATATTTTGGGCTAACTTATTTATGAACTGAAATGCCTTCTTTTGTCATTTCCCTACTTTTTCCTCTCACACATTAATAATTAAACACATTAAAAGTTTATGACAAACAGACATATCATGATCAGAAACCACTTCACCTGTGCTATAAGAAAACTTCTCAGTCTATTGTTAAAGTAGATACTATACAAAACATGTGCTGCACAGGTCAGCACATACCAGAAACATCTTACTACATGCACTTGTTTTACTTCACTCAGTTTGGACTGATGCAGTTACATTTCTTCACAAAAGCTGTCTTAACTTACTGAGATTTCTGTGTAGGTTTCCAAATAAGTGACTCACAGATCAGTTTTTGCACGCCTCCTTGCTTTTTGCTGTATAAACAAAGCCCTAAAAACCCTATTTTAATTTTCTTCAGATAGCAAGGTGAGGCAGTGTTTAGGTGGTTTTTTTTCTTTATTAGGGATTGTTTAGTTCAGTTTTTATATTTGACATTCAGGAACTATATTGCACATAGAGTTATCACCTGCTCCACATGAGAAGAACTTCCTACTGTTGGAACTTATAAAAGAATTAAAAACTGCTGACCCCTGAGATAGATACAACTAGAAAACTAGATCAGATGTATATTTTAGAAACTTTTTGTTTCTAATTGAAAATGCATATTTACTTTAAAATTATAAAAACCTTAATGCCAGTAATATACTTTTTTTCCACAAAGCTTTCCCAGTGGAGCTGGAGTTTGTCCACATCATTTGGAGAACTGGAATATTTTGTTATAAAACACTGGATTAAAAATTAAAATGGGTGAAGGAGTAGTTTTTAATTTCTCATACTAATCTGTTTCACTAAATTCTGGCCCAATAAAGACACCCTCAATTACTGAGGGCAGTGATGGCCCTTCATTTTTACTAATTTTCTGTTGTTTATCTTTTGACATCCAGAGTTGCTTCAACATTACAATGACATAAATATCTGTAAGGAATTACAAGAGATATTTAAAGAGCTTTAGATTTAATCTAATTAAGTCAACTAACAGATCCTTGGAGCATCATAAAAAACCTAACATATTAAAATTTTCCTCTTTTTCCCCAGCAACATTTCATTCAACAGATGTAAAGAAGAGGTTTTGAAATATCCATTACCTTATTCCACTCACTTATTATTCTCAAAAAAACACAATACTCTTCTCCCAACTTTAAAGGAGCATTATAAAACTTCCCGTAGTAATGTCTGTCTCCAAGAGCAATTGACATGTTATCAGCAACATCTTTCGCCGGAAATTCAGCTGCCACATATCCTTTAACATCAGTGGTGTCACTAAAGAAAGTTGCAGTAGCAAAGGAGTCACAAATAAAAGTGCTTTGCAAACCCAGAGGAAGCACAATCACTTGATACAGACTAGAGTGAAACAAAAAAAAGTAAATATTAGCCCTTACTTCAATGAACAAAGCATCAGACATTCATTAATTCGTATTATCTTTTCTATTTGTAGCCTCTTAACTGTTCTTTATTATCAATGTCCAATATGAACACTTCTTATACTAAAATATTTCTGTGTGTGTTCCACTGCATTTTGAACTTAAAGCACTGAATGCACAGCTTAGAGCTCCTCATGACGTGCTCATTAATGTTACATGTTTATTTATGTTCAGAAGAATATCAAACTGAGATATTTCAGGCTATCTCCCCCTCCTCCTCTCATCAAAGTTCACGATGAAATAAGACACAGTTTGCCTCTGAAAATGATTTGTAAGTTCCCAGAAACAAGACTTTTTCTATTGAGAGGACAGATACCATTTGTAAAAAAATAAATAAAATCTGTCTTCAGACCTCTCAAAACATTGTTTAGTCTGTGGTATCCAATGACAGCAGAGCTATTTATTAGGGTTGTTAAACTAGACATTTCCTGAAACATTATTAACTTTCAAATATCTTCTACTTCATTGTAATATTGAATCATGATTACCTTTCCCTTCTATCACCAACAGCACTTAGTAAGGGGTAAATCCTTTTTCTCTGGAAATATATTTTGCTTGTAATAAACTAACATGAAAACACTAGTTCAGAATATGCATAAATTCTGAAATTGTTATTCACTATTCACTCTGGCTCTTAGGGAAAAAAAAAAGGGAATTGGCTGCATGAGTTTGTTGGAAAAGGAAAATCACATGAGTAGAGGTGTGTTTGGAGCCATCAATAAAGATTTACTGCAACCTCACTGTGAATAAAGGGAAAAGAAAAACAAAACAGAACAAAACCACAAAGCCAACTGTGGAAACTCACAATTATCAGAACCAGATTTTGTTCCAGAAAACAGAGGAGAATCTGAAGCAAATATTACTTTGCTAAGAGAGGAGAAACTGAGTTACAGCATAAATTTTCTCCCATTGCTAACAAAAATAATCCAGCCCTCAGAAACAGTTCCAATCTGTTAGTAATATAAATCTGCAGAATGTTTTTTGAAAGGGTGAAGAGCACACAGACAAACCTGATCGGTCCATTCTGATCTTCTGCTTTCCGGAGTCTAAGCAAAGGTGTAGAACCTTTTACTGCAACAAATTCTACATCTGGGAAAGGGGGATCTAAAAAAGTAAACAAATACCAGTACTTCAGAGAAGTTTTAGAAATATTTCGGGCATCAGGGTTCTCAGCTATTCTTTCCCCCAGAAGTTCCTTGTTCATTGAGTCTTAAACCCCTGACAGACAAAGCCTGCAGGCAAATTAAAACTGGCCAAGTAAAACACAGAGCAAATACGACCATCATGGCCTGGCAGCCCCAACTCAGAACCCTGCACTGAAGTATATCTGCTGCTATCTAGGGAAAACAGAGGTGCCCAAAAATGATGATAGACTTGGAAGAAGCAGTATTATCTATTAGACTATCTGAAATGGCCAAGGAGAAGAAAAATACGAAACTCTGGGTACAGAACCCACTGCAAGAAATAAAATGGTACGAAAAAAGGAGAATTTAGTAGCACCGAAAGTACTTGCTAGAAGGCAACTTCCTTAGTTACTTCCTCACAGTCAGCTAGCAATATCCAGTCCCCTAAACTGGATTTCAATATCGGTACAGAGGTCTAATCTGTTTTAGTGGGAATTTGAATCAAGGCCAACACTGAACAACTACTTCTCCCTCTAATTTCGATGGCAATGATGACATTTCGATGGCACACTGATATGGAAATTACCACTACTAGCCTGAAAGCAAAAAGAAAACAGCTTCAGTGTGCACAACCAAGGGCGCAGAGTGTGAAGCATGGATACTATCTACCCCAGAAGTCTGAAAGAACTTGTACGGATATTTACAGATATGGCTAGGCTTTCTGAATACCAGCATATCAGGTTGCTGATGTGATACCTAAATAAAGAGTAACAAATGCAGTGCTTATGCACAGAAAACCAGGATTTTAGAGCTAGAAAGAACATTCAATGTCATGGAGAGAACCAAAAGAAAAGCAATGCAGATCTGCCAAAGTTACATTAGGCAAAATCTCTCTGAAATGCATGGATTTTTCAAACAGCTGGAATACAGATAGGTGCACGTATGTTTGAAGCATAGAAAATCATTCATTTTGCAGGAGAAAATGAGGTTTGTTAAAAGAACTCTCAAGAGGGCAAATAACTGCTAAATAAGGAGCTAGAAACATACATCATGTTGAAAGTAGTACTGGGTGCAGAAAGGTTATTACAGGAGTTCTTTCAAGGCTAAAAGGAAGTGCTAAGTCTGGCATTTCGTTAACAATCACTGTGCAAAATCCCAGTGCATACAGATTAATTTTGCTGCTCAATGCTAGAAATAGAGAGATATTACACAAGAAGAATTGCATCACCTTTACAGCTACTGTTTTGCAAAAATAGGATTAAATTCATCCATTTAAAGTACAAGGTGATACACTTGGGCCTACTAATAAGAATGTATACTACATATTCTAATTTCCTTTGAGTAGTAGGAAGGGCATATTAGTACATCGCAGAATGAGTGTTAGTCACCAAAATGACAACAGAAAGAAAAGAAAGGCTGCTCTAAAAAGCATAAGAAACAGGTTTACATAACACTAGAATAGTGCCACCAAAGGTACTCAAGGCTCAGGTGTGACCACTTTAGTGTCATTAGTGCTACATAGCTCTGAGAAACCAGAGCACAGGATACAAGGAAGACATGGACAAAGAAGTAGTTGTCTTACATGAGGGAACCAAAATCTTAGGTTCATACATTTTGTAACCTATGAAGAGGAAATCTGAAAGCTTACATGATCTCTGCTTTATTCAGATGAAACAGGGGAAGGGATACAACTTAAGCACAGTATGCCCAAAATAAAGCTAACAGGACATAAAAGCATCCCTAGCTAGAAAAAGACCTACCTTACCCTTGACAAAAATCATCCCCAAGAGAACCTCCTGAAGGCTTACCTAGCCAAACAGACTGCTTTGGTAATTCTCTTTACCATGTTTTTTTCAAAACCAGGCTACGGGTGAACTACCAGTGAAGAAACCAGCTACAAATGTTTAGGATTGAAATGAGAATAAGATTTATATAGTGGTCTACAGCTTCCTCATGAGGGAAGGCAGAGAGGCAGGCACTGATCTCTTCTCTCCAGTGACCAGTAACAGGATCAGATGGAATGGCATGAAGATGTGTCAGGGGAGGTTTAGGTTGGATATTAGGAAGACGTTCTTCACCAGAGGATGGCTGGGCACTGGAACAGTCTCCCCAGGGAAGTGGTCACAGTACCAAGCCTACCCGAGTTCAAGAAATGTTTGGACAATGCTCTCAGGCACATGGTGTGATTCTCAGGGCTGTCCTGTGCAGGGCCAGGAGTTGGACTTTGATGACCCTGGTGGGTCCCTTCCAGCTCAGAATACTCTGTGATTCTACAAAAACTGAGAGTTTTCTGAGTTAATGAGGTATATTGCATGGCTGCTTGCAAGAACAGGAAATGGTCTTTGCTTCAGGTCTTTTCAATATATCTGCAACTGAAGATATTGCAATATGTAGAGAAAGAATTTCTATCTGAACAAAATAAATGAACAAATGACATTTGACAGCCAATCTTTTTGTCCTTTGTCCATTGCAAACTTAAGAAAACATAATTTAAGAGCCATAAATTCTCTGTTAATTTCAGTGGTTCCTCAGCACAGACACTGTCAACTGACAGAGTGACAGTAAGATATATATGTCAGGGTAGATTCATCTGGTATATTTCTCATATCTTCCTTTCCTTTGGCATTCAGGATCACCAGGAGACACTATTATTAATTTCTCTTAAGAATTTTTCAATTTCCAAGAAAAACTTGGGAATTTCTTCTTTAATGCCAGATAGAATGTGCATTGCATGCAGCAGTTTTGCATCATTTTTCCAGATAAGCAGCACAAGGGGAAACAGGACAAAAAGATGTTGACTAAGGTAATAACAATTACTTTTAAAATTTTCTATAATTTGACAGGAAAATGCAAATCATGAAAATAAACAGTCACCCAGCACTGACAGCCCTAGCAAGTGGGTAAAAGAGAGCAAAATCTGGAAAAACACATAGTGCTTTTAAAGGTTGGAGTCTTTTGCCATATTTAGTTTCTAGTAAGAAATACTAATTATTATATATACAGAAGACAAAGTGCCTGTTTTAATAAGAAAAGTGAAGAGCGTGCAACAATGTAAAGAAGTAATAATAACAGTAATTGAAAGCAATAGATTTCATTTTTGCTTCAGTGACCAGAAAGTAAACTCTGAAGGAGTTATTCCATCTGCAGTATTTGCCCAGTATGACTTTTTTAATAAAAAAAGAACCTTTCCAAAAATTTAACATTTAAAAATAAAATTAAAAAAAAAAAAAGTCTGCTGGGACGTCATCATTATTACCAGGTTTAAAAATCCACACAGAAAAAATACTGACTTAACACCACCTAGAACAGGTAAGGGAAGGGGGGAAGCGCTTCAGAGGTGAAGATTTGCAGTAGGTGGGCTGAGAGAAGAAAGCAAGATCTTCCAGTCTGTTCAGGTGCTGTTAGCACCTTGCCTTTCTTAAAGTTTTTTTTTTAACTCTTCATCAGCAAAACAGACTAAAATATCTGTAGCAGAAGAACATAGCAAGAAATGCAAGTTTATTCAGAGATAGTCCCACTCTAAGCACTTCCTTGTCATAGCAGTGCTATGTTGATAACACTTGAACATTTCATATACAGGCTAATTTTCTAGAATAAGAATCCATCTGGCAATTCTCCCTCTGAACATGAAGGCAAGCTACAAGAAAGAAGACATATGACAGGAAGTGCCTACGAGTGCAGCAGCACAGAGAAATACCGCAGGCCTGGACCAAAAGCCTGCTTGGTGTTACACTGTAATCACGCTTTTCAGAAAAAGCACGTTGGAAGCAGTTCACTATTAGTTATAACGAAACCACTTCACATTAGAAGAGCTAAATTTTTTCTTTAATCCTAGAAATGAGCTGTTTACTTCTTGTTTAAAGCCCTGGTTAATGCCTATACTGCTTACTGCTGAAGACTGCACAAGCAAACCACTGCAATAAAAGGAATATGTGAACTTTCAGGACATTCTCCAGGAGTGGTAACAGGAACATTTAATGCCTTTCCTGTCACATGATCTTTTGTACAGCTCTGAAGCAGTAACTCTGGGACAACACTGTGCTACTAACCTTTGGATATATAATACAGGGAAGAAAGGCTGTAAGTTGCCCATACGGTCACATTAAAAATGAATGCACAAATCCATTTCTATCCCACACTATATATAGATATACATAATACCAGTTAAACTGAATATAACTTGTTGAAAGACCTTTTCTTGGTGCCAGTATAGCCCTCTTTACAGCTTCCCTGTATCATTTTACGGTAATGACAAAGCTTTAAAAATAATAATGGAATTGAACCACAAAGTCCAAAACCACATGGCAACTCTTCACTGAAACTGACAGTCCAGAGAAGTCAAATCAAAGACCCCTCTTAAAGCCAGGTTTTAACTAAAACAACCCTTTGCTGAAATAAGACCATTTTTATGATCCTAATTTCTTGTAAACAAGGGATTTTTTTCATGGTTATTTAAGGGCTTTATGCCCAAAAGGTTTTTACTGAATTTTATAACAAGGAAGTCAAAAACACTGCTATTAAAATAAAATAAAAAAATATACTTGAGATATTAGTACAATAGAAAAAGTTGTTTATCATTTGTATAAGTGTCTGAAGAGTAAATAAGTCTAATGTACATATTAAATACCATTTTTTAAATAGAGAGTGAAAAGAGATTTTTGACTTAAGAGAAAAACATTATTTAAAGAAGGGAAGGAAAGAACATGAATGAATAAATCAAGACCACATCTACAGAAAAAGATCATTTAAATCTTCTTTAAGGACTGGTCATTTCTGGAAATCCTGCTCATGTGATTTCCTTTACTGACTGAGGCCTTTGTTTTCCTGATCTGTGACTGAATGTCACACCATCCTGTTCATCATCAGAAAGGTATGAATTCAATGAGGCAGACAGTAAAAAAGGAACTAGTGCCCGGTGCCGTGTCACCAGCCAGGCACAGCTCTGCTTGCAGTGGTGTGCTTGGCCTCCTGTGAGTTTGG